GTTCGAGTGACCGGCTTCACAAACAGGTCTGCCGTGGGTTCCAGATTTTACTAACCTTCAAAAAAATCGCGGCTCAACACAATATTGAGTGAAGTGTTCTCTGGCTTCTTGACTCTCCTGCCGACTTCTGATTCTTTTCTAAAAAAGAATTTGCGATTTGCAGTATTCCCTGAGAACTACAATACCCAACCAGAGGTGTGAACTCAGCGATGCTTGCAACGCGGATTAGCAAGCCTGTCATTGTAATCTTTTAAAGTAAACATATTTTCAATTAATCACCTGACCAAAGTCTTTGAGAAGTTGAAGTACATCTAAAGAAAATGTCCTCCTTGAGCGTAGCATCAAAAATACTAAAGGTGAAATATTATTTGATTGATGTGGTACTTGTGGCGCTGTTTAGTCTAGTGTTCAGTTGAATGGCAGAAAGAATGGTTCGCGTTTTCAGTCCTCTTTAGGCTGCAGATAATTTTATTTACACCAGCGATCCGTGCAGTAACGATTAATATCACCTCTGAGCAATTGCTCCCAACGAATAAACAAAAGGCTCGAGGTACACCTAGGCACTTCTTATAAGTTGTGAATGCGAGAGCGTGAATATGGTTCATGCGAGCCTTCTACAGGGTGATTTGAGGAGAGGCCAGGCTTTTTAAATCGATCGCGAAATTCGGTTTCTTAACTTACCACGCCACGACTTTGTGCAGCGTTGCCCACAGATGGTGCATTTGTTTTTGTAAAATTTGCAAAGAGCGAACTTACCTGAGGAAAAAGTAAAGAAAAAAAAAAGGCTTAGCTCCTATGGAAACGCAGCAAAGCCACCGGTCTTCAAACAACACGGCGCCGTTTCGCACGGGAAACAAGAGATGGCGCAAGCGGTCGCAACGCCAACAACCGCCAACGAACGAGTATACGACGCCGAGAGCCGGCGTCTTTAGCAGACAAGCAACTGCAGTTCCTTGTTGTTACCGCGCCTGTTTTTGTTTCTGCGACTGTCGCCGCCTGCGGAACGCGCACCGCTTTTGAGTCGAACAGATTTTCTGCTAAAGACGCCGGCTCTCGGCGCCACATGCTCGTTCGTTGGTGGCGTTCGTTGCGCCATCTCTTGTGGCCCGTGCGAAACGGCGCCGTATTGTTTGAAGACCGGTGGCGTCGCTGTGTTTCCATAGAAGCCAAGCCTTTTTTTTTTTCTTTACTTTTTCCTCAGATAAAATCGCTCTTTGCAAATTTTACAAAAAAAAAATGCACAATCTCTGGTCAACGCTGCACAAAGTCGTAGCGCGATAATTTAAGAAACCGAATTTTGCGGTCGATTTAAAGAGCCTGACCTCTCCTTGAATCACCCTGTAGTGAAGTGGCCGCGCAGCGCTCCGAAGTACGCTGTAGTGGGCTCTCTCTGGGAGGCCCCGCCAGCCAAAAGCTTCTTCCCGGCGCGCTCTGGCGCGGCCTTACCTCGCGCGGGCACGTAGCGCCAGTTTAAACTCACGCGCCTCCGCAAAAGGGAGCCTCGTTCCTTGTAACTATGCACGCCCCAGCCAATGGAAGCCCTATCCATAAGATTTCGGCTTCATTTGGAGAGGGGAATTCATTTGCCGTCTGGCTCGGCTTTTTTGCGCGGCTTCAACACTGGGTGCCTCAGGTTGCGGCTTTAATTCGCTCCATTGGGATAGGGGAATTTGTCTGCCATTTCGCAAGGCAGCTGATGACGTCGGCTCGCTCCATGGGACCAGTTCATGCTATTGCATTAAAAAACGAGCCTCCTGATTCTAGCTCCGTATTGCTATTTCTACATCATGTTTTCTTTAGAAGGAAAGGTAAACCCTCCAAGAGTGTATTAAATGTTTCAGGACGCGTCGTTAGAATAGATTACCAATTAGTTACAAAACAATATACCACTCACCATTCATATTAGCTTAGAAATATTTGTTACGAAACGTTTTTTTAATGATTTTAGGTTTCGAATACAATATGCCATCCTCTTATGTGGTCAATAAACCTTGCAAATGGTGTTTCGGTTTCCTATATTGGTCAGTGTTTGGCTTCTATACCACTCCTCTTTAATGACTTTAAATTGGTTCCTTGTTAGCTTTACCATGTTAGATTTATTTTCTCGTGATTAGAGTGACAGCATTTTGAATCAACCCGTGCCACGAATGCAGTAGCCAGCTAAGCCACTATCTGCTCAAAAATGCTCTTAAAATATTACTAGGAAACCAATATTGGCACCGCTGGCATAGTTTACTCGCACATTGTGGGCATATTTCACTATTTGACTTCTTCTTGATAGTTTTTTTTTTTTCAGGATACTGTTCTTGTTTCAAATTTTATGGATGTCGCACTTGGTTTATTATAGAGTATGGCTTGCCAAGCCTAGCTCCGTAAACGTAAAAATAGCGGTATATAACTGGTTAATGATATCCTCATAAACGAGATTACATAATAATTTATCTCACTTTTCAACAAGAAAAAAGAACAAAAAAGCGCAGTGTCCGGAAAAGTATTTTCTACTTCATAAAGATAAACAAACATGTGCCTATGTGGGAGCAGGCAATCAGCAATGTTTTCCTTAAAATACAAAAATGTTTGTTTTACTGCCTACAAGCTTTTGCACGAACGCGCTCAGTCAACTGCTTATTCGTTTTCGTACGCTTTTTCGGCGAAGAAGCGCTATTACTGAGGAATTGTCTAAGCGCTCTTGAACTTGTTTAAGTCTTACCTCCAAGCCCGAGACAATTTTTTTTTTTTTATAAAAATCACGCTGGTTAATTATAAAACCCTCTGCATTTGTACTGCAAACTCGAAATAACATTTTACTTGCGTGTAGTCAAGAAGACAATGCACAAAATCTTACGTGTAGCTAGTCGCATTTTCGCTGTCGTTTCCCTAATTCCAACAATGATTAAGTTTGCGTGTAACATGATCCTGCAACGTATTTATGCTGCATTCCAACCAAACTCCAGTGAAGTCGAAAGGTTTTCAACAGGTTCAAACACCTAGTTGCTTTGCACCTTGAGCTAGTCACTCAAGAAACGTAGCCTACAGCGAACGCGCAAGAATGCTAAAAATTAATATATCTATATCTTTAGATCAGGTGTAGGCATCACAATCAGTGCATAAACCCAATGAAAAGAAAACACTTAGTTTTGTGCCACTTAAAAAAAAAACACACAAACTGTGTAGGTTGTCACAACAAAAACTTGCACTTCTACTTCGATGAAGCCCCAAAACACAAGGAACGTAACCAATTATTCTGGACCCTTCTCCGGCGTGCGCAAAATATTGATTTTCAATGCTGTACTTCAGGGGCGAGATTCGTTTCTAGGCACTTATGTGCATGGGCCTTTTTGTTGTGTGTGTGTGTTTCATACGTGTTTTTTTTTTTTCACTCTTAGGGAGTCACGCATTCTTTCAGAAGACCTTATCCTGTACGCGGTCCAAATCACCAACAAAAAAGTAAAAAAAAAAAGGAAAAAACAAAAACTAGCACTCTATACGTTCCAGCACATTGCGTTCGGACGTGTATGAACAACATGCTCGGGCCAGCATTCTTAGTCTTCAACTTGCATGTGTTCACATCAAGCGTTGGCCTGCGGCTCGTCTCGTCATTTTCATTTCACCAAGCTTACAGTTACAAGAGAGGTTGACTGTTCCAACGGAAATAGGAGTCAAAAGAACGTTCGTCAAAAATTTCCACAGCCACTAACACCTTACAAATCGCAGGGCGCGGCTCATCGTGTTCACGCTTCTTTCCTTCTGATTGGTGCTTCGACGTTCTTATCGGCCAATTCCGCAATCTGACTGGCTGCGGAAGGACAATGAAATACGCAGGCCTCGACACACCCTACATTTATATTTAGGCTGTCAGCGACTATACGGCGTGTAAGTTCGTCTGTACCTTGCGTATTTTGTGCGCTTAATTAAGCCCACCCCCCCTCTCCCCAAACGCGCCCATGTGCTTTTGCTTTCAAGCGACCTCAACAAATGACGGCGTGAGCTTGGCTGCTTTGTCATCGCGCGTTTTCTGCGCTTTCTCTATGTTGCTCTTTGATTGGCGTGCTCCTCCTTGCGTTCCGATGCGACATATTTTGGAACACTTGCTCGCCGTATAGTTGAATTGTCCAGTCAGCCGTGCTCCATCAGTTGTGGTAACCGCGTATACGTTTACCTTACCAGCTTTAGTAGTAAGCCTATCTTAAATTATTCCTTTTCTTTTTTGCGATTTGAATTAAAAACTGATGTAAGACGACTACTGTATGTTGAGTCTTCACGGCTTTGTGATTTATATAGAGTATTCGATATGCCATACTGAAAATTATACGCAGTACTTAGAACATGAGATCTGTTGTTGTGTTTCTGCTGCATGTTGGTGTAATGAATTATTAAATACAATTATAGTTAACCGTTTAGAGGAACTTGAAATAATCAAAATGATGTGGGAAAGGCTTCTCACCGAAATCACACAACACGTTTTATGAAAACCAAACACGCAAATTTTCGGAACTTTTAATCCGCATGCAATGTCGTATTGAGGCGTTAGAACGGCGGAATAATATATTTAACTTTTTAACGAGAACGCTAATTGTGAGCTCTAGCCTCAACAATTGAAAACCTTTACATAGCTTGGAGCGGATGCAAAAAAAAAAAAAAAGATATACTAAAAACTTGGTAAAATAATATTATTGGAAAAAAATATTTTTGCATGGAATCAAATGAAAGGGCTTTGTTATCATATATGAATGCGCCCTGATGTCTTCAGGGTAAGCAGATGTTTCTTTCTTTTACCGGTCTAATATGGCTAGAGCAATCTAACTTGGAGCTTCCGCAACTACCGATATACGTCCTATTTTTGCGTTATAACTATATATTAATTGGTATCACGGGCTCATCGCTGGACGAATATAGGTGTTAAGTTTCGAAATATGTTTGAAATAAATTATTTGTTTGTTGAAACAGCTAGGTCACTTTAAACAGCGACTACACAAAAGTGACTCCGAGGGAAGACTCACCATCGAGCCTTAGTTGAGCTGCCGCCTGGCAGGAATCTCTGTCGTTCTGGGCGACGCACTGGTACATGCCGGCATCGTCACGGCGAACCGTCTGAATCTTCAGCTGGCTTTGGGACACCATCTGGATGCGTCCATCCGGAACCAATGGCGACCCGTCCTTAAAAATACAAATAACAAAAATTAAGGCCTGGCCTGACCAAACCAAAGCTTATTTAACCTAATCCAACCTACCCCAACGAAACTAAACTAATCCAAGCGAACCAGGCCTAAGCTCATTTAGACCAACCTAACCTTATCTAACCTAACCATACTTAAGCTAGTTTAGCTTAGCCCAACCTAGCCTAAACCAGCTCGACTAACCCAACCTAACCCAACCTAATAACAAGACTAACCTAAGCTAACTTACTAAAGCTATCTAGCCTAAACTAACCTAGCCTAATTCAACGAATCCTAACCCAACCCACAAAAATGACGTAAGTCAAGGTAAGCTAAATTAACCTAACCTAACCTAACCCAATGTAATCTAAATCAACCTAACCTTAACTAACTTAACCATACTTAAGCTAGTTTAGCCTAACCTAACGTAGCCTCAACCAGCCCAACTAACCCAACCTAACACAACCTGCTTTATAAGACTAACCTAACCGTACTTAAGCTGTCTTAGCCTAAACTAACCTAGCCTAAACTAACCTACCCTAAACTAACCCACAAACCTAAAATAACCTAAGCCAACCTAACGTAATCTAAACTAAATCAACCTAACCTAAACAAGCCTAGCCCATCCTAATCAAAGCTTACCTCACCTAAGATAATCTAACTTAACCAAGCCAAATCTAACCTCACAAAACTTAGCCCAGCGTAGCTAGCTACTGTTATAAGTTTTATGTAAAACCTTGAACCATGATGAACTTAAATATCACTGAAACTATACTTCCATGTAGATACCGGGGAAAGGCAATTACTGATTTACGGCATTTCTTCATAAAAGCTTAAACCTTTACTTGCTGAAAGCAGCAGAATAACTTCCGATTTTTCGCCATAGTATTAAGGGACTCAGTATTTATTTTTCATGTATTATTTATACAGCCTCGGCCAAGCCGTAGCCGTCGTCGTCAAGCGGCTTCGTCGTCGAGGCTGTAGCTGGAGCGGTACAAACACACAAAACGCAAATCAGAAAGTGCTATGAAACAAGAGCTAATAACAAAGCAGATTACATATCAAATCCATTTTTATTAGTCTTTGCAACTACAGTTCTAACTTTTAAGTTCGCAGTAGAAAGATTAAGCTTACAAGTCGTCCGGCTTGTTCATAATCCGGGTTATCCCACATGTCTTCGCAAATGAATGCAGCATTGTATGTGCCGCGAGGTAGTATGACAAATTATTTGCGCACAACGCTATCTGATAGATTACCTTCAGGCACGGGATATCACGTAAAAAATGTTGTGCCACGTAACCGCTCGATTATATTTTACTTTGTCTTGCATTGTTCACGCCCTTGCGCAGTTTTAACAAATAATTTTTACACTCCATCGCAGACGCTTGAGAAACCAATAGTCTTTCAGGTGGCTTTGCTCAACCCATGGAAGAAGGGAAAAAAAGATTAACATGACAATATTGTTTCGGTTAATACTCGCACAGCGACAATTTTATCTAAGAGTGGAAGAAACATAGTGATAACCACGCTTTAAAAATATTGCAGTATTTTTTTTTCTTTACCAGAGCGTTTACATTAGATTTCTCCCTGTTTTCACAACAGTGTCTGTTTTGTTCCCGTAGAGATAAATCTATTTTTAAGAACATACTCACGTACGTACACGATGAGGACTCTTAAGCTCAGAACAACCTTCTGGACATGGCGGAGTTGATATTTTGGAAATCAGCGTTTTGTGATCACACTAGTCCGACGCTCACTTTGTGTTTTGCAGAAGGCGGCTCTAGTAGTCTGTGAAAGTTGTAGATTGCTATCTATTCCGACGAATTAGCTAGGCTCTGTGGCAAAGTCTGACGTTCCAAACAGGGCGGACGCTGAACCAACCCGGCCACGTACCTTACGCCAGGTGATACTGTGCACAGGTTGACCCTCCACGGAGCAGTTGAAGAGCGCAGGGAGCCCCATGGCAACTGTCTGGAATGCCGGGGAGACTTCAGCACTCAGCAGCACTGCGAAAAAAAAAATGGTTGCACCGTTCTTATCAAAGAAACTTCGGTGGGGTGATAATTGACTTTGTCAGGGTTCGTAACATTCATACTTGGCTGATCGGCTTGCAACCAAGCACACAAGCCGGATTTCCAATAAAGTGGTACGATGTCTTGAACGCGTCGTCGACAAGTGTGATCTGCGTACTGTCCCGCTCTTGCATCAAGTGGTCTCGAAGTGTCAGCAAATGACGTCAGAAGTTGTTAAATGTCAACAAATGACCTCACAGAAGTGTGCACGTAAAGCTGCCGAATGTCGCGATTATGACAGTTGAGGCCACAGGTTACAGCAAAACACAGGCGCGAACTCGAGTGTCGCTGCCGTTGTGGCGGCCCCACTCCTGGCTGCCGAAGCTTCTATTGGCTCTCAAGCAAGAGAGCAAAACTTTATCCCCAACCAACCACCGCTGTCACATTCATGGCCGCTGCTGTGCTACCGCGAAGACGACACCTCCAGGAAAATGAAGCATAAGTGCTGAACGTTTCTGCGTTCCGAACGAAGACCAACGTAGGCCAGAGATCTGCTACGACTACGGCGTCAGAGCTCGGCCAGGAGTCATGTTCTCACTGATTAGACACGAGTTCCATTCGAAAGCTGACGCAGCACTCGTCTCTGATCTGTTGCCTACGGTGGCTTTCGTTAGTGACGCAGAAAAATTCAGAACTTAGGCTTTCTTTTCTAGGAGGTGTTGGCTAAGATCACGGCCGGTGAGAGCACGACACTTCTCTGACGTCAAAAGGGGGAAACGGAGGGAACGCTTATGAGGGCGCGGTAAACTCAAAAGTTAGAGTCGTGTTTCAGGCGTCGTAGTTTGGGTAGTAAAATGGGTGGTCAAGATTTTCAAGTATTCGATAGAGGTAGTAACCGGGGATGAATGCATCACTTGGTTTTGCCTCTTTTTAAAAATAGAGCCGAGAGGCACCCGTCCCAGTAGAAATGACGAAAAACATATTGAACGAGATTGAATATTAGGCATCCATCTGTACATGCATTAGACGAGTGATTTTCAAGTGGAGGTGCGCGGACCTTTTGGGGTCCTCGAAGGCATTCTAGGGGTCCAGAAGCCCTGCCTCATCAGTCCGGCAATTAAAGTTATCATTTTCCAGATTGAAAAGAAACGTTCTAACGTTTTGGTGAGTTTTTTTGTGTATGTCCATGAAAGAAGTTACTTAACACTAGCCCTTAGTTATAATCACTGATTAAATCATTTTCATATACCTTTCCCTTTCGTTGACCACAAAATGGGGTTCTCCATTATCTTGGACGATCCACAAGGGGTCCGCGAAACATCAGTGGTTGAGAACCACTGCTTTAGACATTTGTGTATTTGGTGTTAGAGAATGCCCACAACTGCTACCCTACAAAGTCAGCGTGAAAACAACATTGGGGCGTTTCGTCATTTTATCAAAACAGGTCAGTGGTGACCCACGTGGCACGCCACACAAAGGCCCAACTTAGTTCAAGCTTTGAGATCCTAGGGGCCTGGCTCGGGTTTAATATGGTTTTGCTCCAAGACGTTAATTAGTATCATAGTAATGTCCATTGGCGTTTCAATTAGCTTTGTTAGACTCGCCATATAACTTCCATAGTGTCTGACTTGAGCCGAACATGCCACATATGAGACGAATAACTAGCACTGAAGACTAAATCTAGCAAGTGTTAGGCAACTAAGGCCCGAACTTGCCATTTGAAAACCGAAGATTCGGAAGTGATGCCTAATTCCGAACTTGTTTGTTGATTTAGGCCAAAATGTTCCAGATGACCGCCGAAGTACAAGCAGCTAAGCTGAACTGTTACTCTTTTTTTGTTTAATTGGGCCATGGAACCCGGACTCTGGCCAAAAACGAAAGATGTAACAACTCCCTGTAATGCCGAATTAGAGCGCAGCTCTTGAGGAGGAAAAGGCGGGGGTACGGAGGGGACGGTATGCCCTACACCTCATTCGTACCCTCTCCTCCACGCTCCTCATCTACTCCTCCCGTGCTCCTCGCCTCCTCCCCTCTTCCTCCTACACCTTCTCCCTCCTCCACATCCTGTTTCCTCCTCCCTCCTCCCCATTCTGCTCCCTCCTTCCTCCTCCTCCCCCTCCTTCTCCCTCCCGCACGGTGCAATATAGAAAACGTCACGTCTCATAACGCAACGCGCGCGTCACCTCGGTGCATTATGGGTCGTTTCCCATAATGCACCACGCGGTTACACAGACGGCGACGGCGACACCAACGCCGCTGAAGGCGGAAACCGGCGCCTAAGAGCTGCGCTCTAAAAAAGGTAAAGCTTGGGTCTACCTTGGCTTCTTCGGACTTCGAAACGCCCTAAATTCCCCGACAAAACAAACTTATTCATATAATTGTGCAGCATGGGCAACACCTTATTTCATTTCCGAAACTAGCAAACCATAAAACTATCTTGTACTATACTAGTAAACTGTGACGACAACCTCTGAAGGAAGTTAAAGCTGGAAGTCAATTTTTTATGTTGTGTCGGGCTATGTAATATTGCATGTGGCAGCATTACTACATATTTCTAAAACATGCTAATTTGGCAGTTGATATTTTCACTATTCAGTTTTTTGGAGCCGATGATTTACTCAACAGTAGTATCTTTATATACTAAGTCGTATTAAGGGGACTTGCGTTTTGACGAAACTATTTATATGGTCGAGCGGATTATGTATGCTCGCTTACCGGGATTTGCAGAACCCTTAGAATATATTTACGCCTATACATAATTTATTAATTAAACAATTCATCAATAAATTTAACCGCAAAATATTTATTACAGTTAACATCAAAACAAGCGGTGCACGATGTGCTTGGGAGAGGAATGGACAGTTCAACCATGGCGGCTTAAGACGCCGAACGCCATGTTAGAGACTGGAAATGTCCACAATTGCTCCACCTCATTCACCGGACACGTGGTAAGCGAGAATGCCACGAATATAATAGGTTGATTAAAAGTAATACAAAATCGATGGCTGGCACATAGTTTTCCCTATCAAACTAAACAGAATATTCTAGTCAAGCAACACATGCTTGAAGAATGAAATAAGGTGGAGCTCACGCTAGCTACATAAAAGCCCTTTGGCAGTCATAACTAAATATAACATACAGTATTGAATCCCATTACTGCTCAAGCTGAACAATAACTTTGAATTCAAGGGTTCGGAGATTCAACTTGAGACGAGAATGATTACTTGCTTAACAGCGCCGAAGAGCTCGGCACTGCTAAGCAAGAAAAATTTTTGTTGGTCGTTTTCTTTTTTTTTTTTTTTTTTATAGCCGCCTTGCTGGCTTTGAGGCAAAGCGCCGGCGTACGGATCCCCAGGTGGTGGGTTTGAATTCCGGCCGAGGTGACCACAATCTGAAGGAGGCTTTTTGCGGAGAAGACGCCGTGTCGCCGAGATTTCCATTGGACGTCAAAAGATTCCCAGGCGGTCGAAATTAATCTTCAGTCTTCCGCTGGGGCGTTCCAAATGACCATCGTCAGTTTGGCACTTAAAACCTGCATATGTTCCTTATTCCATATATTTCTGGTATCTCATGCCAGAGTAATTGCACTAAGATTGCAAAAAAAAAACGTAAACTTTATGCCATTTTCCCCATTAACTAGAGAAAGTATCTGCTGACGCCACTGTCCGTAAGCTTCATTGAAGACTGACGCATCTTAATAGATTTCTGAGGGTTAAGCGTTTTGGGGAGACACATGTATATAATTGTGTAACGTACAGACTCTCCCTTGATTAGCAGATATTTATATTAAAGCCGCAGGGTTGACTCTATCGAAGCACACACGTAACAAAAACATAAATTAAAGCAGAGTGAATAAACATTGCTTTACTAAAGTGTCCGAATATTGAGAACTTTGCTGGGGGCCTTCTGGTTCTCGACATGCATGTTAGCAAATCAATTTAAAAGCCATCATTTCAGTTGTGACCATCGATGTTTTGTGTAATTTTAAACTGGTTCAAATTTCCAAGGCGAGCATCATTCCAGTTTTATTATTATAGAAGCCTAGACGATATACTGAACCGCCTATAGGGCAACAGGTTAAAAAAATTAATTCTCCACCAGAAAAACACTACCTTGTTTTTTGACCGAAGTCTCCTGCTTTCGATAAATCGGTTTTCTACCCAGCCAGCCTGGCTTGCTATATATTTGAGGCATGTTATTGAGGTTTCAAGCGCTCGAAAGCGTTCGATTTTAACAGCGCGACAAAGTTTCGATATAATACAACTCGGAGAAAATCTTTAAACGTGAATTCAGAAACAAAACAAAACCAGCACAAAGGCCCCTGCTATTGCACTTATAATCCATTGTCTACGGGAGCTTCAAATTTTATGAACTGTGAAGATATCAAAACAACGCGTCGGTCGTTCTGGTAATCACTACTCAAATGATCGTGCTATTCTTCTTCTGAGATTACACCGTACCAAACGGCGCGCACAATTTTTCGGTAATGATAGGATTCGAGGCCCTAAGAGTGAGCAAACGACAATTGTCATTGTTCCAAGCTGAGTATCTCTACCGTGTAACGTTTAGAAAGAATAAGCGATAAAGTTCGAATGGCTCGAATAATGGAGTGCCTAATCGCCCCACCATTGGATACAGCACAGAGCATAGCACGAACCTTCAGATTGCAAACGCGGTTGTTCACGGCGCTCCATTCAAAAATGTAATCTATTGCGTGGTTCAAGACAAATATCGTTTTTGTTTAAAGTTAGGTATTTGTTTTGGCTCGCAGTTAGGAGATCATTAGCGACCATCAGCACCAAGGTTGTCCATTCTCTAAATTAGAACAAAACAGCGCCATATGGTGAAACAAAACATACTTTGAACGTTGTGATGTTTGTCTTATTGCGAAAGTTTGGTTCACTTTTGAAATTTTTAGACTGGTTTAACACCGTGAAGGTTAAAATTTGCTGGTGCTCCACTCAGTCTACGGTCACTAAGAGGTTAAACAACGCGGGACGTGGCTCCTTGTGTTGACACGTTTCGCTTCTTCGTCTCTTTTTGTCGGCTAATTTTACAATTTTTTTCGGGCTGCGGAGAGAAAATAGGATATCCGGGATTCATCACGACATTTACAGCCTGCGCATCTTAAGCAATGACACTTAAGTTAACATATATTACTATAGTCACGCAAGGCCTATAAATTGCTATAGTAAAAATTAGAAACCAAAGAACAATATTTAACAAGCAGATACTCTACGGATGAATGAAAAACTCAATTGTAAACACGTCGTGATAAGCTGATAATTTTAGAACTTCCTTTGGTTGAGACGGAGCGAATTGACCTTGCTCAGAACGCCATATCAGCAAACTAACTTTATATGGTATTGAGCGACGGCTCACAAGAACGCACTTCTTGTTACCCCCGTCAGACCTTCGTTGTAGACTGTCCACACATATCACCTTTGTTCCAGTGTAATAGCATTGAAGAACATTTTTTTTGTTTAATTATATCAAAACAGGCTTTGGGAAAGCTTTACATCTTAGATTGAATAAGGGGAAAACACATGACACATACGGATGTTCATATAAAACAGCATGTTATCATAAAGGCCGTGACACCATAATCGTCTATACTTTTCCAAGAAACAATTTTCTACCGTATATCATTGAAAAGGAATGGCTGATAAAATCGACCAAAATGTTTTTATTTCCCTGTCTACATATATTAGAGCTCTTGGACAAACTATCCTCGAAGTGGCGCGCTCGGAGGACTACAAGAATACGTTGAGAAATTGATCCAATTGCGCTTTTTTGCTATTTCAAGTTGACATGACTTTCAGCAGGTACTGCTTGATCCATTAAATTGCTATTTTAGGTCTCAAACCAGATAAACATATATAGATAGTCTTTACATACGATAAAGGGAACACATGACTTGCTCGTCGTTTGTTTATTTAGGGGTGAATAAAAGGGGAAAGCCAGGATATATGTCAGTGGTGGTAACCGCCATCAGACGTTTCGCTTCTGGTGCAATCTAGCTTCGAAGTCTCGGAAAGCTGACGGTGTTCTAAATGCATTATGAAGACTGCGATGCCTCGTTTCTCTTCTAACCCACGATATAAAAGTACGTTCCGTGAGAATCGATATGCCAAAGCGCACCACTATCGTGGTGAGCCCTTGATAACGAGCGCAAGCTCCCAGAAAATGTAAGGTGTTACGCGTAATGTCTCCTTTGACGTTGCATGTTCTAGATTTTCTCGAAACCCGATACTATTTACGCTGTCATTCTCAATGAGTTCCTCATGCAAGATGTGGTAAACAAGGTGTGCTGAAAGAGCAGCCCTCAACTAGGACAGGCGCGGTAGTCTTGAGTCAGTTATCTCTATAACCTGCGACTTTTTTGGAGAGAACAATTAACGTTCTCTGCACGTAAGGTATCGTGAATAGTGTTCATGAAGTGAACATCAAGTGGAAACGAGAGGCTCGCACAAACAACGAACTAAAAAAAAGGTGCGAGGCCGTAGGTTCCGGCCCTACGTTTCACGCCAGGTGTGCCTTGTGACTACCCTGAACCGGATGTACAACATCCGGATACGAACAGTGGACCTTCTGGCCTCTGCCAAAAGTAAAGAGGGGACAGGAAGGAAAGTGACAGGAAAGCCTTCAGATGGCAATGTAAATAGTATAACCCAGAACAATATGGACCAGACGGGTGTTATTATTGTGGTTGAGCAACTAAACATTCAATCGCGATTTCAGGAATGTTTTTTTTTTCAAAATATAAGGAACATTTTCTCGCCGATCAATCGACATTTCCCTGAGATTTGCTTTTCAGTTGTTACTACATGCCACTTGCATTTTCTCAAGTCAATAAATTTTATTTTCTTGATAAATTATTTTTTTAATTATCAATTTATTTTGGTGGGAAGCGCAAAAATTGGACCACTACTATTTGAACATTTATTTTGAAAAACGGCTAAGAACAGTTATTATTTTGGCTCAGAAGAAAGCCCACACTGCGGTGAACAACTGAATACTGAGTCATTACTATAGTTAGGTCTGCAACGCCTGAAATATTTCTTCACTAAAATAAGAAAGATAATAACTTCAACATGTTTTTGTGATTTTCAATGAACCTTTGTATGCAGCAAGCATAAATACATAAAATACTGTCTGTAACATTTGACTGGCTGCTAAAGAGAAGTTAAGACAATGGCAAGAAAAGTTGCTGACCCATGCCAATCCAAAACCACCCTCAACTTTATGAAAAACTTTTATTGTGTTTATGTTATACCCAAGATATCTCTAGAGCCCTTAACAAGAGGCTTTATTAGTGAAGAAATGTACGGGGTGGCTCCAGAAACAATCAACAAAGCTTTTTTTTTTATTTTCGTTTTAACCGTAAAAAAAAAAAAAAAAACTCCACATCGCCAAACGCTCAGTCGGTGGCCGAATGTAGCGCTAGAGATTCAAACCAGATGTCAAGATTTCTGAACATGCCGTTATCTGTTTCAAAAAATAATCAGCGATGTTCGGACATTTTTTTATAGAAAATTGGCGGCCAATGACGCCTACGAAGTTATAGAGATGACAAACGTCAGATACTGGTAGGCTTTTTTTTCTCTAATGAATGTTAACACATAACTTATACATTTTGGATAAGATGACGGTGAGTTCTGATCGGGACCTATGGCGCTATATTTTATGTGAACGTATTTTTTACGTTCATCAATGCGTAGCTAAAAATTACGTCAAAAAATTCAAAGATTTTTTTTTTTTTGTGGGGGGGGGGGGGGGGGGGGTCACGCCGTAAGAGAAAGAAAACGATGTGTTATATGAATATTTCTGGAGATATTGGTTATCGTAGAAACAACTACTCCCTCCTCGGAAAGGTTAAAACACAAACCTTACATTTGGGAATGCGGGGAGGGCAGAAGGCGGGGGGGGGGGGGGGGGGGGGCGCCACAAAAGCAGATCGCGTAGTCTTCAGGAAGTTCACTCGGTGTCATACTCACCAGCCACGGAAAGCAGCGTCTCTATCTTCTGCTCGCCCACCGTATTCCTGGCTATGCAGACGTAGCGCCCGCCGTCGTGCACGTTGACAGCGCGGATGCTGAGCACGCCGTTCGAAGACTGCATCCTGTCGGACTCGACGACGGACAGCCGCCGACCCCTGTCCTCTTTGTACCAGCTGCAGAGGATCGACAAAGGTTTCCGGTGTTAATTCGCGTCTGGCCTAGCGCGTCCGGCTCGATCAAAGCTTCCCTGGTACACGAAAGCGCCGCGTCTCTGTGCTTTCGCACGCTTGAACACCGATCAAGAATCAACACCGAATGGATGTGCTATGCGAGTGCAATGTGCGTGAAGCCGTATGTGCCTCTGAAGCAGCGTTTTACTTTACTCTGGCGACTGTAATTGTAACTTGCAGCACTCGCGGTCCAGAAACTAGCTCCATTCAGAGTTTAGTGGCGCCGGAAGAGGCGGGAAGGTGCGTCTTTCTTCGTCGCTAGACGGTTTACAAAATGCCGCGCACAACAGCTCCTCATCACTGATCAGTGTTGGCTTATTATCAACCTACTCTATTGCGCTTCACGTCTGAGCGCGGCTCGCCGAATTGTGTTTGGTCAACAGATTGTACACGACCGTATGGCCCGCGCTTCAAAAATTTTCATTATTGCCGTCTTGCAGTTTTGCCTTCGAAAGTCCTCCTTGCTCCACAGCGTTGCTCTATTTGTGCTGTTATGTGATCCATTAGAGTAGATCTGGAACATAGCCATGGCTAATAGCGCATAAGAGCAACCGTACAGATCGTTTTGCCCCTTTATTGATGGCAACTCGATGGAACAACTGGATCATTCGTAACTCCGTGGCCGAGATATGATGCAAGGACATCTGCGCGCGAAAGACCTTCAAAACTTTGCTGCGGCACTGATTCTTGTTCGGTATCCAAGCGTGCGATGGGACAGAGACGCAGCACTTCGGCGTGCCAAGGAAGCTTTGATCAGACCGCGAGACCGGCGAATTTTGCTTTCGACGAGTTGTGACTTATTCCCATTGCACTGCGCGTCCGTAAAATGTTCCACGTGTTCTCAACGGCAAGTCTCACGGCTTACACAGCGTTGTAAAGAATTTGTTCGGCGAATGACGACGAGCGAGTAGAAATCGTGTCTTCAGCACGCTGCAACCAGCCTCCGCAACGCTCCACCAACGCGATTTTCGGACATGCAAGATGGCCGTCCGGTGGCCGCACTCGCGGAGCGGGGATGCGCGATCCAGCAATTGTCATAGAGATTAGTGGCATTCATCGCCTTTGGGTGTCTGTTATCGTCGATTAAACCAATCACGCCCACTGCATGCTGCGCCTTTCTTGGCTTTCTTCTGTGTGTGATTGATTGAACCGGTGATCGAAAACCAAAAAACGAGAACGAGCGCCGAGTCGACACATTATTAGCGCTGTATGATTAGCTCTATCGAATCATAGCATCGCTTGCGTTCGGACGTAAAGTGAAACTCAGTTTAGCGTCACGGCGTTGAAACCCGCGGCAACTGTAGGATCAGTACACAGAGTGACTGAATGGCTGAACCGATGTCTACTGTCTCTACCTTCCGCGCTAAGCTACAGCCACAATCCTCCTGCAACGTAAAAAAATGCGATGTTAATTCAGTCATATTCTTTGAGGCGTGACTGCGGTCACGCCTCAAAGATGCTCGAAGCACGTTTTTCTGCGTACATACGTAAGTATCTAACAAGTCTGCAGACAGTTTTTATACGACCAATGTGAAAGTGCCGTGATACGAGGGAGACACAGGCCTTAGATATTGTGTGCAGATCATTCTCTGTATGTTGAATAAGAAATGAGAGGACGATATTATTTTTGTTTTGGAAACCTTCCCCGGAACACATCACCACTACCTCTATCGCAAAACATGCAACAATAAAAGCAAAATCCATCAGTGAATTCTTAGGAAATCGGTTAGAATGACCCTTAATAAACGCCGCACACGCGCCCCTTTGGGAATAACTAACGCTGACTCCTTGACTTTTCTGTTTTGGTTTTCTCTTTTGGCGTTCTCGATTGCTTCCTTTATATCTAGCTGCCTCTTTTTTGGAGTAGTTACGGGGTCAATGTTAGCGTTTCACAATGGAGGATGTGTGTGGCGTTTCTCAACGGTCATGCTAACGGGTTCCCCTAGGAATCCACCAATGGATCTTCGCGTACTACGTTTCACTACTTTTTTGTACTCTGCCTGTCAGAGTAGGTCAGTGCCCTTGGGTACGGTCATCCAAATCACTCGTGGAAAGAACTACATCCATACCAGTCGTGGAAGGAAGCACATCCGTATCAGTCGTGGAGGGAACCGCATCCATTCTTTTAACTACTCCCACACTTTACAACCCACGCACTGCTACTACGGAAACCCAGAGCGAAGAACGACCTGCGACGGCAGAGCGGCAACTGAACACGGCCGCATTCCACTGCGCCGCGGCGCGTCCCCGTCCCTGGCTCCGCGCCCTGCTGTGCGCGTGACTTTGACGAAAACGAAAGGGTTCGTTTTGACGAAAACCCGGTTGTGCCTGTCAGTTTGTCAGCGCACGGGAGATAGGGAGAGGTTGACGCGTGCTGAAGTCAGCGCTTCGGACCAATGGAAGCGCCGCACGCGTCACCCTCTCCCTCTTCCTCTCTCCCTGCCGCTTGCAAACGGTCGACACCGCCGTCTTTTTGTCAAGACGAGCGTTCTAATACTACCGCGTTAAAAAAAACTAAGCACTCTAGTCGGACATCCATTTCAGCTAAGGCATCACGTCTTCTTTAGCTCAGTGGAGATGTTCAAGGCGGCGATTGCCACTCTTAAAGTCCGGGATGCTGTTAAAATATCAATGCTTACGTGTAATGCGGGGGTGGATATCCCTGGGCAACGCAAGGCAGATCAACGTGGCTCCCGACCGTAGTCTTGAGTTCGGGGAAATTGAGGGCCATTTTTACATGCGTCATGGCGTGGGCATCTGCAAAGAAACAAATATTTTTAAGGAAATTTCTTCAGACATTCTACCAAATAGGCGCGCAGCCACACAGTTTGAGACAGTCATACTTAGGCCCTTGACCTCTTAACCCGAGATCATACTGCTAACACATCGTACCGAAGAGTCTTTAGACGTTGGCTGAAGCACGGCACTTCCTTGTATGACAGTCCTGCATCGTTGGTAATGTGAGAACTTCCCTTGCCATGTACTAAACTCACCTATATATGAGCCAAACATTCTGCGAGCGTGCTTCAAGCGCGTTCGCCAACAATTTAGTCATCATGTCAGCAGCAAACACCGTGTCTCTTGCATGATGCATGAGTAGTGTGACCACGTACGACCTTAGAGTCATAAGAGGGTTCAGATAATGATGATTGTACCGAGTTTGAGTGAACAAAATAGGGACCAGTTTTTCGGGCCAAATAACTAAAACGAAATGCGGAATGGTAAAACTTTGACGAAATGTTACACAAGGGGTGGGGATGGAATCTGAAAGTTTCACGAACATGGCCTTGCCTGAATCAAAGAAATCAAAGTGAAAGGCAAGATTTCTTAATGGGTAGACGTTTTTAACAATTCCTTCGGTAAAAAAAAAAAAACTCCCAATGATAAAAACAATATTTTTTTCCTTCTTGCTTATTTGCAGTAAATGCCACAGGTGTTAACACAATCGCTTTTTGTTTGGACAAATTCATGCTAAACTGGACGCTTTGGATGATAAAAATATTTATTTTTATTTCTGTTTTTATTTAGGTAACGCCCTATTCTAAAACTTTTCTTTTGTGTCCCTATTGGTAGCACCACATTCTGAAGGAATGTGGCGCTAGCGATACGTATACGAAAGAAAGCTTCTGGCTGAAATGTGTAGTTTCCTTTATGGATGCCGGAAATGTGGTTTTCAATTTCTCGATCAAACTCGGTACATCAAAACTGGGGGCGTCGTAGATCGGCGTGGCAGACCCGATTCGGCCAAATAATGGTAAAGAATTAGCGTTTTATGTTTGTATGCGGCAATGACTGGTTCGTCAAACACAAAGATATGAATCGAGCCAAAATTGATTAATTAAATTTTCGTACTAAACAAATTTGCAACCTGTGTTTCCCAAGTCCGCGTTTGTTAAACGCAGGAAGAATTCACCCATAGCTCGTACTTTTATTTCCGACATACTAGTTTCTTTACCCAATATTATGTTTGGAGTTTCGTTTGCAGGATTATAGGGTGTATAGTGAATCGCCTTTTCGAATAAATATATCGGTATCGGGTGCTCTCGTTGGCAGTTTCAAGCATGCTTGGAAGCCTCCTAGAATAGCTGTATCTAGGCTGCAAAGACAATGTTCTAAAATTGTAACTATTGTGTAATTTGTTTATCCGTTCTTCAAAGCGAACGAATATATCCAGGTGGCTGGAAGGCAGGGCACGGTGGTGTTATGACTAAATTTTCATGAGGTACCCAAAGAGGCTAACGCATTTTAACAATCGGGCTTTGTTTTTTAGCATGCTCTTACTTTCTCTAAACTAAAAATATTTATATTATAAAAAAAAAAAATCACGACATCAAAATATATATGGGTGATTTCATCTCAACTCAGGCACGGATTTAGGGTCGAATTTTTAATTTTGACGAAAAAAATATATGTTTTGGGGCAATTCCTATAATAAAAGAAGACGCAAACGGTTATTTCGTCGGATTTTTTGTTCTCAAGTTATGGACCGTTGAAGCGGTCAAGGTGGAAATTGAGGTTTTTCCAGCCTATCGGAGGTGCCATATTTCACTCCATCCCTTTTCCGTACTTTTTACGCTACATCAATATAACTTTTCGGGAACACTCTAGACATAGGCTTCTTCATGCTAATTAAGCGTCTAGGTCATAACATTCTTAATGGTTTTGTTTTTATTTGTCAAACCGCCTCTCTGTGACGATATTTGACGAAGTTCGGCAAGCTGTGCTGTGTGACCTAATCAACATATTTCTATGATCTTTATATCACCGTAAAGCACCAATTATGCTCTTTCTTTTGAGTATAATTTCAATATTTTGCCACAAGTATATAATGCGCTACATGTGCCTGAAAAACGAATATTTCGAAAACTAGCAAGTTTGGAGTCGATTTTCTAAAAAAACCCACTTTTTATTTTTTTCATTTTTTATTCACAGTTAGTTAATATAGTAGTCTATCAGGAACTACCAACAGAAATTGTAATATATTGTTTGTATGGCCGCTATTAAGACTCGAACCTCGTGCTATGAGCGTTTTGAACGGGACTTCGCACAGACGCTCTGCTGAGCAGAATTTTGGCCTATATAAGGTTTTTTATTTATCGTTAGCAGTCACCTAATATCCAACCACAAACATTTAAAAATTTTTGAGTAGCGCTCTTAAAAAAAGTTACTTAGAAGTCCGTATTCACAAGTGCGAGCGCATCTTTTTCTCCCAATACGGGGGAATGCAGATCGTTAGAGAAGTCCTCTGAGGCCTTTTGATTTCGGCTCCGAAATTTTACAGATGCCACCTCAGTCAGGCGGCGTGTCTAGAATACTTTATCTTGAACATCACGGGGCTAACGCCTCTATCTTCGTCGGGGTCCTGGAGCCTCTAAGGATTATGCCTTTGGATGCGACCGACACGGAAACCCTGAATGTCGGGAGAACAGGCGTTTCGAGGTTAGAGTTTACGTCGCAAGCCCCCCTCTGTCTCTCCAAGCTCCCTCCTCGTCCTTCTAACACAACCATGCCACTAATCCGCGGGCACTAAAAGAGACGCCGCTGCTGCGTGGCATTCAGATTACGCGCGAGGCGGACAGCGAATGTTTAAGTATGGATCGACGGGAAGATTGGGGACCCAAAGGAAGCCGAATCTTCGCACGTCGTCTAACTGATAATAGCCTTCTCGGTCCCTTTCTGGCTCTTTACTTGAATTCCTAAGCCACGGCGGAAAGCTGGTACTCATTCTACCTCCGTGCTGTCTGAGCTAGATGAACTTAAAACTGCTCCTGCTTTCAGAAAGCCAGAAGTGTTCGTTACTGCCATGGCTAATACATTATTTAGTTCAGACCGGAAAGTGTGCACCGACTATTCAATGAGACACAAGATAATAGTGTTTTACGGACGCCATTTTCGTCAAGTCTCGGAGCTAAACCTAAGTTTTCTTAAACAAGTTCTACCGGCTGAGGACGCCCAGCGCGTGAGCCCTGGAGATGTTCTGTGCAATAACTGCTACACAATGTTCTTGGGTCAGATTGAAGAACATAAGCAAGGACAGGAAATGTTGTCATCAAGCTCATCGTCATCATCCCTGAAACCAGCGGACAGATCATTCGTTGACGAGGAAGCCCTGGTCCAAGGAGTGTCTGAAGCAATTGATGCTGCCGAAGTAAGTGTGACACCACTTAAACTCCCTTCTAGCGTGACCCCACGAAGTCGCACCGGCTATGTTAAGCGAAAAAAATCCGAGATAACCGCGGACTTCAAAAAGAAAGTTGGTCGTAAACTAAGTGACGTGTACGGAGAACCTACGGGCACAGACAAAAAAGATACATGCTCCTCGTGCTCCGACTGGGTCAGCAATTTACGAGCAGCCTACGCCAAGAGCGCGTCGCAGCTATAGAACGCTACCGCCTCTTAACTCTCTTTCCATTTAACCTCAAAAAGAAAGATATCCTGAAAGCAATTCCTGAAGTGACGAAGCATGCTTTGGACCAATCAAGAAAGCTGGAAAAAAAAATGGGGGTCTGGGCGTCACCTGACCCATACCAAGGACATACTCTCAACGAAAACGATGTCGCTCTTGCGTTGACTTACTACACATCAGATGCGAAAGACTGCTCAAGACAAAGCCCGAACAAGAAGGATGTCGTAAAGCTTTTTATTGATGGTCAAGAAGTCTTCGTCACGAAGCGATTTATGACGAGATCTATTAGGGAAACCTACAAGGAATTCAAGGCGGCCAATCCCGAGTCAAAAATGGGCCTAACAAAATTTTATTCTCTTCGGCCCAAGTGGGTTAAGAAACACCCTGTACATGAAACGTGTGTGTGTGTATGCTGCGCCAACTTCATACTCTGTCTGACATCTCTGTCAAATGCGGCGGGGAAGACCATGACCTTTGAAGACGTCCAGAAAATTTTTCTTTGTGAAAATCCTTCCCAAAACTGCTTCTTGCTGAGGTGTGAAGCCTGTTCGAACCGGAAGGAGATATCCCTCGAGATGCTAGGGATGAGCGCTGAAGATGAACTGGAGTTGGCACTGTGGGAATCTGGTGGCGAGTTGGTGAAAAAACATTTGGAGGCCACTGCTTTTCTTAACGAACTCAACAAGTGGACGAAGAAATACATACCCCGCTTTTATATTCGGAGCGCACAACAGAGAGCAATATGGCTTGAAAAAGCAAATGTGAAGCCACGTGTCGTAGTCCTCCACTTTGATTTCGCAGAAAACTGGAGTATTGTGCTCCAACGTGCAGTGCAGGGATACCACTGGAAAACCAAGATGGTGACAATCTTCACCTGCGTTGCGACGACCACGAAGGGAACACTAAGTTTTGACGTCGTGAGTGACGATACCTGTCATGATTCTGCACACGCGCTCTTTGCGCTCACAATGATTGAAGACAGACTCGAGGAACTCTTGCCCGTTTTTTTGGAGCTAATCTATGTTTCGGACGGCGCTTCAAGCCATTTAAAAAATCGGCACCAATTACACGAATTTCAGAAGTTGTCAGCAGGTGGATATACTCGGCGTCAGGGCACGGCAAAATCGCGTGCGATGGAGTGGGTAGTGTGCTGAAGCATCATGCGTCATTGCATAACTTGAAAACAACTGAGCTGAGCTCCATAACTAACGCGCGTACGTTCGTTGAAGCTCTCGGCCAGAAAATCAACGGGATAACGCTTCTCTTCATCGACCAAGAGGAGCTGTCCCGTTATCGGGAGCTTAAAAGGAAGGGGTAAGAGAAGGTAACTCCATCGAAAGGCATCCAATCT